ACAATGGAGAAGGCGCGAACAATGATTTGAATGGATTAGAGTTGGTCGGATGGCATGGCTCGGCCATGCAGACGTGGTCCATCTGAATGTAACGTTATATCTTCTATTCATATTAAATATATTGTTCCTTCTCTAACCTAACCTTGTTCTACATCATGTATTGGTAATTGATACGATACAGTGAGTTGGTGTAGTCGATGGTGTGACTTCCACGTAAGATCTTATAGATTAGGCAGTTATATCATGACAAATCTACAAATTTAGGATTAGGTCTATTATTAGAGCAGTACTAATATCATAGTAGATCATAATTCTACACCTTCATGAATATTGGCTACTCTACCTCTCGTCCTTTCTTTTACTTGCTCCCTCTTTCAGCTCCCTTGAGATATGGAACAGATGACTCCATCCTGCACCATCCTTAAAGCCTTAGCTATTCCAATGGGACATAAGGTTGCGACATTTAGAAGCTCCCACCTTCAATAAACCTATCCTTGACCATCAGTCGCACATTTGCAACGCAACTTTCATGAAGCGCGCCAACTGTGGTACTGATTAAAACCATATACATTCATATCTTATAAATTATCAACCCAGCTGAGTAATTTACTACAGTGAAAATTGTATCATTTGTAACAATTTGATCTTGCCTGTAAACTGGAATGCCTCATGTAACAAACTGTTATTTGAGAATAAATTATTATTATTATTGTTACTGAAAGAAGCGAAAACCACTGTGTAGAACAATCGGAAAGGGATCAAAGAAGCACTAACATCAATGTGTCAGGAGGTTCTGAGTCGCAAGACGCATCATCATAAGGATTATTTTCTGAAAATACAAAAAACATAAACATGCATATATGTGTATTAGAAAAAAGTTTGTATTTTGTCTTTTTAGCACATTGGTGCAAAAAGAAAACAAGATAAAACAAAACGTTACGTAGTGTCTTACGTGCAGTAATCGTTCAAGTGTTCCGGAAGCCTTAACATTGTTCTAGAACGCGTTGTTTTAAATCGGTTTTCAGATGCCACCAAAGTTTGGTGATTACTGTTGATTATCGGGTGAGGTGTCGTAACTTCGGGGCTTGTGTCGATCAACTGTATGGGGTGAAAATCAACATTACGCGCCCTTGAGACAATCGATGCCAACGCCATCGTTAGTTCCGAGTTCATCGATGATATATTACTTAGGTTCACGATGAAAGACTGAAGGATTCTTCATATATCGTTTCGAAAGGTCGTCAAAAGGGGTCGTGACGTGCAAAAACGTGCGTACTATGTCGTAAGGCAGGTTGAACTCAATCATCGGTCTGCTAAGGTCGAATGGAGACAGATTTGACCAAACCCATGGTATTTGTAAGCCTGCTCGTGAGGGACTTCAGATCCATTGTACTGATTCTGACCATCGAGTGGAACGGTTCGCACACGTTAAGAGGTCAGCGTGTCTATTCAGTCTGTAAAGGGTCCTACCAAATCCAGACGAATATGGCCGAAACGAGCATCGGAAGTTTTGAAGGAGTTTAAGTTACATTTGTTGTATCTAATCACCAGTGATTTCTGGCTAATTACACAGAAGTGTGCCCGCTCGCTCCCATGTTTATTCATATCAGAAAGCAAAATCCTTCTGTGATTGCTAAGAGGGCTGTAGGAATAGTCAGATTCCACCAGAAAGTCTAAGATCTCTTCCGTAACATCTGAGGCCGTACTGAACACCATTAACAGGACACTATAATTGGCAATGGGAATGGGATGGTTTAATGGTTGCTCAAACAGTAAGATGAGAAAGTTTGTGCAACGTATTAAAGACACTGAGTCGATAATATTTCGGCACAATCGAACGATTTCTACTTTTGGATTTGTCACATAGTATAGTTTTTTACCCGCTCCCAAATTGTTTAATACATAGTTTCAGGGTTGTGGAAGATAACTCGTGCTGAAGATCAGTGTCTTACTTGTGAAGCAGTATGACTTTAAGAAAGTCGATTCCTTAGAAACCGTTCAAGGAAATTATACAGGACAAGTGGTCTGCAACTACATTGTTTGGCCCACAAAGGTGTCGTATATTTGAAGTGAATTGCGAACTGTTGTTCAGTTGTCGAGACTCTCAAGAGGAGTTCCTGTCTGAAGACGAGCTTGGGGAGATCGAGGGTTTTTGGTAGGTAAATAGAGTGAATACTCGGCCTTCAACAGTGTTGAAAGTGCCGTACAGCACATTACATGGCTAGTAGTTCCCTACCGAACGTGCTCTACCTCGATTCAGTATCACCAAACCGTCTTCAGAAGAATGCCAATGGTTGACAGGTGCGATAAACCCATTGTTTTAAGACTCCTTCGATTGCTAGGTCGGATGCTGATGTGTGCCTTGGTGTCCTGGTATGCAAATACAGTTACTTTGCGATGAGTTCCTTAACTATGGAGAACTCTTCTTTCCCGTTTTCATCCAAATCCATAACTTTCGCGATTCCATGAATTTATGTGAAAGATGCACAAATCCGTATGAATCATAAAAAAACTTACCAGGCAGTTGAACGTACGTAATTGCTTGACTGTGGTTGCTTCTAGGTAATCCAGAATGGCCGCCACATTGCTTATCAGAGAGCTGAATCATTGAGCATCAAAAGTGTGTCCGAGAAAACCTAGGGAGTCAGTGCCGATTTGACACTCCTGAATGTTTACAGTAATGTCGTGATTTTACAGTCGTTCAAAGACAAGGTCTACATGCTGAAGATGAGATTTTCTGTTTGAACTTGCAATCAAGCCGTTGAGTCGGCTTCCGGAGAACTTCAACGGAGCTTCCAGAGGCCCAAAAGGAGCCGAAGGGTCCAAGCCAATCAGAGTATGATGGAACGTTCTAGAATTTCGACGTGGTGTGCTACCACTGGCCGGTAGCATAATATGTCGTTAACGGATTGGCTGAAATATGATGTTGATTTAACAGACGCCAACATCTATAAATACCTATGATTTTCTGTACAAAAATGAACCTTGGGATAAAGTATTTTCTCTCATACTTGTGTCTTCTCTCTGGTGTTCAAGTCGCTGTGTAGTTCCAGACTGCGGGTTACCAGAATAGCTTAGGAAAACGAATATAGCGTTCGATCGACAAGACTTATCACTAGCAATCAACATACTCATGTACGAATTTGAGACCTTAAAAACATCGTCGATGGATCTCTGGAAATTTTGTGCTCCATTCCTTAAGTCGAAAGAGGTGTGTAAAAATTCGAAGAGATCAAAAAGGATGATGACAGAGGTTTTATAAATGTCGTCATCAGCCGTGGGAATTTGGTTACACTCTTTAACCAAAACGATTTTCGAAAAAATGATTGCAGCTGTCAAGGTAGCTGTCAAATAGTGAATATGAGAAAACGTGTAACGATCAGAAATGGTTTTCTCACTCAATCGCCGATAGTCACCAATTGAACGCCAATTGTTGCTGACTTTTTTAAAGACTGTGTGCATGTGAAGTGTCCATGAGCTGTTTGATGGCCGAATAATCCCTTAGTCTATCATGTGATCGAATTTGTTTGTAACCAACCCCAGCTTTTTGAAAACTGGTCGTCGCGCTTTCAAAAATACAGGTGACCCCGTGGTCGAGATGTAATGTATAACACTTTTGGTTATACACAGTTTTTGGTCGCATTCGGTACAGTTTAAAGCACTTGTTGAGTATTCGCTGGTAGTGTGGGTTGATTATATGCCTAAGAGTAACAATCTACAACCGAAACAGATCACAAAAACAGAAAATCTGTCAGTTACATCTAATGGCCTCCATTTGCGCGTGTTAGTGAGTAGATTATGGTGTCGTAACAGATCTATACCAATGATTGACACAAAAACATCTGCAAAAACGAAGATTTCGTGAACGGGTTTGCGTAATTTCATGTTGAGGTAAACATATCGCCTACCATATGTGGTATTCGGTTTGCCATTTGCCACCTGTAAGTTGAAAAGTGTTCGTGAAGTCGGTCGTTGCTCGAAGAATCCTAACTTCTGTGCATGTCAACAAGGTAGCGAGCTTTCGTCATTACATCAGTGATATAAAACAGACGGCTACGTCCGCCGGCTACGGTTGCCATTAGTGTGCGTTTGTCAGGACGCTCCCCGAAAGAAATTTCGTGTCCGTCGGTTTGGAGCTCGGAAAATGCCAGGGTTTTCTGAAATTTAGAGAAAAGCTGTATGATCAAGTGCTCGCCAAAAGTCCGTCGACAAATGACCTCTCACATTCGCAGCAACATTTCTGCTGCTGAGCCATGTTGCAACTTGGTGTTATAGAAGAGCTAGTTTAACCTTTGTCGGTCGGTCAGATCTCTGCGCTTAAGAATAACCTTTTTAAAGTCTCGTAAGGTTCACAAACACCAGTAGTAAGTTACTAGGGGCGACGTACTCGTTGACTTCACTGCCGCGAAGAACTGAGCATGTGGGTCTTACGCGTCACGCTTATGGATGTCAGTTTCTGCGTGGCTTCGATATTGTCGGGTCAAAATGGAATCAGCTCAAGTGAGTGAGGAGATAGTCTTACTCTTCAGTAACTTAGGAGTCCGTTCCGCCATGATAAATATAAAGTGTGACAACGAAAAACAAGAAAGATATTCGAAAATATGGAAACAGCATCACAATACGTAAAGAAGTAACAATAAAAAATAACACTTAATGTCCCGCAAACTAATGAGGTTGGCATCAAATGATAACGACTTGAGTTTGGGGATTTAATTGCCGCTACAGTGTCCTGGCTTAGGTGCTACAGCTTTCGATACGTAAAGTCAGTGCTCAGGTCCACTTCTGAGATTCCTGTTCAGTTGCAAGTGAAGCCCTCTTCGATGTAGTTTGTATGGGTAGGTTGATATGTCCGAAAGTACTGTTCCGATGGAAGTTCGGCAGCGTCACCAACATTTTTGGTTAGGCCATCACGACTTGATATTTTTATGAAGAATTTATGCGAAAGTGCCGGATACTTTACATGTCTTGAAAGTTGAAACAAAACTTTAAACATAGAGAATGTTTGCCCAGTGACCTTACCCACCTCAAGGTCTTCAGGAGGTAAAAAGTGCTTGTGAAGTTTCGGCGGTCTTGGTTTTTATTTTTATTGCTAACTTGCCAATTTATATTCATTTGGTCACCTACCTGGCATTCTCACACCAGACATGACAGAAAATTTAAGCATAATTTTTAAGATCATCTGTTTGTAATGTGAAATGCGCTGGCAATAAATGAGAGACTGGATTCGAGGTCGGGTGGAAAGTTAAGAGTGACTTTATCTGTGTCATTGTTGAAGATTGTGAGGCTTGCCGATCAAAGTCGTCAGAGTTTGAAGAAATTGAGTTCCCTATAACGTAATTGATTAGGGGGCATATATCAGTCTATCGACCTATATTAATCGTTGCAGTTTGTAATACTGTTGAGGTCCAACCTCGTTTTGAATATATTAATAGACGGGGCTGATATAACGTGTTCCGGTAGAGAATTCCAGTAATTCACTACTCGTTGCGAGAAACGGAACTCCAGACGTAAACGGTTTGATCTCGGTTTTTGAACTTTCTTCGAATGTCCTCTCAAATGATCGGTTCTAGACGGAAGCAAAAAATAAGACATGTTAATATCAAGACCATCGTTCAGTATACGATAGGCCAATATTAGATCACCCCGTATTCTACGGTAAGATAACGGAAATAAGTTAAGGTGTCTCAGTCTGTCTTCATAAGATAGGCCAGATAGACCTTGTACCATCTTAGTAGCTCGTCGTTGGACTCTTTCTAGCATATCTGCTTCATACTTGAAACAAGGATATGCTGCTTGAATCCCATATTCTAAATGTGGTCGCACATAAATCGGGTATAGTAATCTAAACATTTCACCATCTAAATACTGGAAAGACCTACGAATTGACCATAATACCCTATAGCCTTTTGCAGCAGCAGCCTTACAGTGACTAGTGGTTTTGAGATCATTGCTTAATATGACTCCTAAATCTTTATAGTTTCTTGCTTTGGGTAGCACGAATCCACGTAGTGTATAGTCATACGATTCATCAGAGTTATTTAACTGCATCACTACCCTCTTATTAGGATTTACTTCTAGTGACCACCTGTCTAACCATGCCACCAATGAGCTAAGATCGTCCTGTAATACTATTCTATCCGACATACTATGTATGGGTCTCCAAACCTTTATGTCATCAGCGAAGAGTAGAACGGATGATTTTGCTACAGTTGGCAACTCCTCTTTTTGTACTCCATTTATGTTTGGCATCATTGTTACCTTCTTTAGCTGTTTCAAAGTTCAAGATCAATTTCGATTTTGCTAACTTTTCCGGTGAGACTAATTTATTGACGATCTTTGAGTGACTCTGGACTGACCTTGAGAGTGACCACTAAATAATCACGACCAAGTGAGTGTTATAAACCAGTGTGAGGAATTATAATTTACAGTTGATGATTAAGGTTAGGGATTAGGTTTCGGGTTTTCATCACGAACTGACATCAGCTATGATGCCAAAACTATTTATTCAAATGGATAGGTGAATTTCGCGCCAAAATCCCAGACTTATTATCTTATACGTGATTGGTTTGTCCATAAATTATAGTCTCTCCGCTCTTCCATTTAATTCAGAATACCTCTATCAAAACAAGTTCATCTTTTGGGGCTGTAAGACTGTGTCAAAACTAGCATTGATTACTCCTTTAAGGGCTACTTGACAAATTCCATCGAGTCTTCTACTAAGCCATACGAGTCTCAGAATCTCCATGCTTAATTCATATCCTCTCCCGATACAGCTCAGTTCAGTAGCCATCGTCTTCATTTTCCCACCTCTAACCTTTAATCTCACTATCTTATATAGTCTCTTTTTTACACTGAGAACGTTTTCCGGAGTATCTAAAATACAGAGTACGGGATAAATGTTCCTTTAAACGATCTTACTATTGGTTTCAAGTGACAGTTCACTTCTAGATAATACACATGGGTGAGAGTTAAAGTTATCAAGTTTTCACTTAATAAACTACTTATGTGATGCATTTTCCAAGTGTTCATGCAATAGCACTATTTCTAAAATATATGGTTAAATATTTTCTTCATTTACTTCTCTTCAGACCATAGTATTATAATAGTATTCAAAGGGATTTCGATGATCTGTAAGTTAAAACATCCATCCTATCAACTACCATCTTGAAGTCCCGATAGGTAACTCCATCATGAAAATCTGAGTTTATCAAAATTTGGGAAAATTGTAGCTTCATTGCTTAATTCTCCTGAGTAAAATGCAATCTCGAAGTCGTCCTCAAAGCAACCTCAAAAGTAACCGACATTTTTTTTAACGAGTTAAGACTTTGGTCTAGATGACTCGCGAAATAGGTTTCAAATAGAACTGGAATTTGTCCAATGTCTTGCGAATCCTAACTATCTAAATTGTATGTACATGTTTTCTTATTATCCCTAGTTCTTGCACAGCAAGGTTGGTTTGAAAAGCCAAATTTCATAAAGTATTTGAAGTATTTACTGTATTGGAAGGACCCTGCATACTCAAGATATCTCATGTAAGTTAACTCAAGTTTGACTCAAATACCATATTTCATGATTATCTATAGAGTGAAATTAAAAAATACAATCTTCCTAAACGTTGTCATGACTAAAAGTGTATCTTCATAACCTTATGTATTGACTAAGCATTTACTTCTGTCGCCCACCTGTTGGCTCGCCATTTTGCCATATATATATATATATATATATATATATATATATATATCAACCTTTATTCTCGAGGTGGGAACTTTTTCGAAGCTACAAGCTTGTTTCAGCATGTCATGAGTGTGACTAATGCTTATGTCTGCTTTCCTATGGGCGGATCAGTGCTATGTGCAGTCAATCTGTCTAAATAAACTATCATGTGGTAAATTTATTGACTAGCTTAACATAAGATGAGCTTAACACACATAAGAACCTCGTGAGCATCTAAAAATGTACTTCAGAAAACCATCGGTTTGGTACAAATATATGTTACTGGTAAAATCCTTTTGTATCCAAGTCAAGTCGCAAACCTTGATGTTAAATCTAAAGGGTTTTGAAAAAAAGTCAGATTTCGTGCAGGGAAACAGCTCAGTATGTTTTTGATAAACCAGTTTTTAGCAATTACGACTTACTGAAGCGTTGTCACGTAAATGTCTCTATAAATAACCATGCGAACTGACAGTTCTATCAATAATACTTTCGGTCTGAAGTCGCACTGTGCTACTAATGAGTAGTGCAACTATAGCGTATAGTAAATAGTTTATCAATTCAGGTTTTTAACCACGTAAAATATATTCTCCTTTCATTTCTAGTTATCCGTATTGTCTTCACCTGCTTGATCTTTTGCAACATGCGGAATTTCGCTCTGCTCTTGCACGAGGTCAGATATGCCGAATGATCGATGATCAAATTCTTCTTCACTGGCAGCACTATATGCGTAAGCGTGCAGCTCTTATAGCTAAACACGTTGAAGAAACTATACAACCCACTTAACTTCGCGTCTGAGCTATGGAATGTGCTAAGTCGTTCATAAATTGATTTTCATTTCTGGAGATGTCTTTTTGCCATCATATCAGGCGTTTACTAAACACTGAGCTCTTTGTTTGGTCTCATTATACTTGGATTTTTTTACGAAATAAGATTTTGTTGACAAAGTAAACCAAGATCATGTAAATTCATTTCAGTGCATTGGCTTTAATCGATTTCTGTTAAATTTCTAATATTTGATTTATTTTGCTCAACTCTTTATATTAAGTTACTCTTCTTGAAATTAAGTATATATTTGGGTATTAGCCTCCCAGATGGAACCTGCAGTTTTGCTCTGAACACTTCGAACTGACTGTTGGGATAGTTCGCGTATACCGTAGGCGCATTTAGTTCTGGTGTCTGTTGGAGTGCTTAATAACTGTACTGTTTACTTGTCTCAATTCCAACATAGGGCAATTATCTATGCCGAGACCTAATTGCATTTCAAACAAAAAATTGTTTTTAACTTCAGCGAATAATTGATTATCGTATGCTGAACTTATGCTAATTGTTGTTAGCAGTGTAATGTAGTCCTGTTCTTTTAACTCCACTTATGCAAATAGATGTTTGAATACCGACGTCTAATCACCGCGTAAACCCTTAATCAGTGTACCTATAATTTGTTAGCATTTCTCATTATCCCTGTCCTATACTCAATAAGACGTTTCATTGTCTCTTATTTCTACCCTTATGAGTCTAATTATTCACTTCTAAAAATAGTTTTTTTGGGAAATCATAGCGTTGTACATTATGGTCAGTCTACGTCGAAGTAGGAGAAAATGATAAACTGAAGCGGAACGACGATCTGTTTTAATTTTAAGGTATACAAGAATTGTTCATGAACTCAAGAAAATGCAATTGAAAGATAGGGTATATAATACTAGTTCTCCGTTATTAAGTATCGATATAATCATACTACAAATAGGTGCCCGGGACATTTGCTTTTAGCAAATGTCATTGAAATTACAAATTTTCTGTGTGATCGCATTCAGAATATTACGCTGGCGTTCTACTAGCTATTTATCAAAACGCGACTATCAAATAAGCTCATTTAACTAATACTCATGCAAATAAATTTTGCATATTAATGATATGGCTTGTGCGTAGCGTTACAAAAGAATAAGATTGATTTATATTTAGAATGTTCTTAACCTTTAACCGTTATTGTAGAACAGCTTATGGTTAAAGCGGAGAGGTCATAGTATCGGTACATTTTGATAAGGAATACCACCGGGTACAATTATTACTGAAGGGATTTGTTAATTTTCATACTAATCTAAGTGACTGACTTGTTTCAAGTCTCTTCACCATATTCTTTAGTTGTTGTTTAATAAAAAATGAAAACAAACTGCATTGGGACTATAATTACACTAGCAATTACCAAGTATGTTAAAAAATTTCAAAGGAATATTGATTATTAACCATCCGACTTAGTTTATTATTCGTCAACTTCACTAACCCTACTTAAGTATACCACGTTCAGTTAGATGGATGCAATAGTAGCTATGGTCAAATCACAAGTTAGAAGTTCTGAGCTTAGATGTAGGAGATAATATTTTAGGAGCATTAATGTTTGAACTAATAAGAACGCAATATATGGCTGAGATGATACTACTAGGCTTTTGTTTTGAAGAATAAATTATAGGGCAGGACTTCACCTGATAATGCGAGATATAGATAAATATTTGTTTTGGTTGGTTTCATTTCAGTTCCCTTCCTTACATCCGTTTAGGATACTTGAAAATTGAGTGGTAATTATTGTACACAGTCAGTCAGTCAGCTACAACGTAGGACCAGGCACATATGTGCATCGGTCCAGGTTGCCATACCTCATTAGCACAATAAGATGAACACCGGATTCATAGGAGTGGTTAGGTCAAAGGTTGCAATAAGGATATAGTATAGGAAGGAAGAATTAGTTAGTAGAAAGAAAGATATGAAGTGATTTAATCTCTTAGTTTAAGGGAAGACAAAGAGTGTATACACCGACGCCATTGTGATCGATTCTGAGCCATGTCACCAAGAGTCTCCAACCATTGGTTACGATAGTCACGCGGACCCCAACCAAGTAGTCTGCATCTACCAACATGGCTCAGACTAGAAGTTAGTGACTTCAAGCACTGATGCCACGTTTTGGTTTGGCCGCCCCTAACTTTCTTCCAACCATCTCCAATACCGGATAGCATTGCACGTCGTGGTAATCGGTGTTCAGGCATACGTAATACGTGGCCCAACCATCTCAGTCGATGAAGATTCATAACCTCATCAACTGATTTACCATCATTCCCTAATACCCTGCGTCTAACCTCACTATTACTTACCCGGTGATCCCAGCAGATGCCAGCAATATTTCTAAGGCATCTGTGGTCAAATACTAGTAGCTTACGGGTGTCTTCTACTCTTAAAGGCCATGTTTCGCTGCCGTAAAGTAAGACAGAACGGACTGCCGCGCAGTATACTCGTCCTTTTATTGATAGACGGATATCTCGCCTCCGCCAAAGGTGACGTAAGTTGGCAAAAGCCAAACGAGCTTTTCGAATCCGTGCTGAGATTTCGTCAAACACCAACCCATTACGGGTGATCAGACTTCCAAGATAAGTGAAGTTGTCAACGCGTTCGACTACTTCACTCCCTATCCTTAGTTCAGGTGTTGACGCATACCAGTCCTGAAGCAACAACTTGCATTTAGAGGGAGAGAAGCGCATCCCAAACATTCTGGCATTGTTGCTTAGTGCTACCAGAAGACTCTGCATTTTGTCAGCGTCTTCACCAAACAGGACTATATCATCTGCGTATTCTATGTCGATAAGTGGACCTCCTGGATGGAGATCAATACCCGAGAATTCAGTCGACGAGAGTGTTATTTCCATCAATAGGTCTATGATGAAGTTAAACAAAAATGGAGAAAGTGGACAGCCTTGACGGACACCACTTGAAGTTGCAAAAGTAGATGACAGTTCGCCATAAGCTCTGACTCGACTAGTAGTGTTCGAGTAAAGAGCCTTCACAAGGTTTATGTACTTCTGAGGTATGCCTTTCAATGACAGACACTGCCACAGAGTCTCACGGTCTACAGAGTCAAACGCTGCTTTTAAGTCAAGAAAGACCACCATCATCGGACGCCGATAGGTATGCCTGTGTTCTAGAACCTGACGAATGGTGAATATGTGGTCGATGCAGCCACGACCAGGTCTAAAGCCAGCTTGGTTCTCTCGAGTTTGTAGTTCACGAGTCTTAGTTAGGCGTCTGATAATTATCGAGGCCAGTATTTTAGATACTATGTTTGTTAAACTAATCCCTCTGTGGTTGTCACAGGATGATTTTGACCCTTTCTTATATATTGGGACGACGAGTGATTGTGACCAGTCAGATGGGATAAAGTCTAATTCCCAGATCTTAGCTAAAATATTAGTCAACCTAATCGCTAAAATTGGACCACCATCCTTAAAGACCTCTGGAGCCAATCCATCTGGACCAGCTGCCCTTCCTCGTTTCAGATTAACTATAGCCTTTTGAACTTCAGCAAGAGTTGGGGGACCTACTTCAATGTTCCATTCACATTGTCTGGGAATGGAGGGTAGTTGGAGAGTAGCTGAAGGCCAGCTGAACTGTTCTCTAAAATGTTCCGCCCATCGTTCTAAGCGTCTGGACTGGGAGCAGATGAGAGTATCATCTTTTTCCGAAATAATCTCACTTACACTTGACTTATTAATTCCAGTTTCTTTTATTAGTCTGTAAAGCTGTCTTGTGTTCCCTATAGTCGCCGCCTTTTCCATCTCTTTTGCTTTCGTTACCCACCACTGTTCACGGTCGTTCCTTAGACTTTTTCTTAACCTAGATCTGATTTGTTTTCGCTCTTCATCATGTTCAGAACCTGATGGGACGAGTTTGCGAGAATCCATCAGTGTGACAGACCTTGAAGAAATCCACTGGTTCCTTGCAACTCTGTGGTTTAAGTCACTAATAGATGTCACTGCTGTTTCCACAGCTGATTGTATGCCCTTCCAAGCAACATCTGGGTCAGCCTCGTCTTCACAACTACCTAAGTGTGACCTCAGTTGTTCCTGGAACCTACTTTTGGTTTTCTCGTTACTCAACTCAGTTCTAACGGGTCTTTTTAATGTGGCTTTTTTGCGTCCAGTGAGGCGCAAGCAGATGCGTGCCCGTATTAGGGCGTGGTCGGAGTCCAAGCAGGTACTCCAGAATGAGCGACAATCTTCTACCGACCCTCTCCAACGATGACTGATGGCAATATGGTCTATTTGAGTCTATCGTTGGTTTGGTGTAGGGGGTCGCCATGTTAGACGATGTCTCTCCTTATGCTTAAAATTTGTGTTTGCTAAAAATAAACGATTGTCTGAGCATAGCTGCAGCAGACGATCACCATTATCTGTTCGCTGTGTCGGAATACTAAAATATCCACCTAAATGCCTTTCTGTTTGGTTTAAGCTACCTATCTGAGCATTAAAATCACCTGCTACGAGTACTATGTCTGAGCGTTTAGCTTTCTGAAGAAGTTCAGAAAGCTTTCTGTAAAATTCATCTTTCACTTCATCTGAGCTGCAGTCAGTGGGAGCGTAGACAGAAACGACAAAAAGGCAACGACGTGTGTCCCTATCCTTCCGAGTTCTTACGTAGCCGTTCAGCCGAACAGCACATAGACGACTGTTGACGGGGATCCACTCTAGCAGTGCTTGTTCGGCCCTCATGCTTAGTGCTATGCCTACACCTGCCAGTCCACGAGAACTGGCCATCGGGTCACCAGATACACGGAGGGTGTATCTCGTTGACTCTCCGTTCTGCCGAGGTGAGGTCAAGTGAATGACCACACTGGGATCCTGTATGCGTGTTTCAGAGACACAGCATACATCAATGGAAAGAGACTCTAGGGTTTTAGCCAAGGAAGCCTGCTGACCGATTTGACATAGAGTGCGTACGTTGAAAGCTCCAATGTGTAGTTTGGAGCGAGGTTTCAGTAGACCTGGGACAGAGTTTTGAGCACTAGAATCGTTGGCTATGGTGACACTTGAGGAGGAAGCCGAAGGAGGAAGTTTAGGGTTGAAAGTCGATGTAGGAGGAATAATAGGAATTGAAGAGGAAGGTTGATTATGAATACAGTGGTCTTGGGTGCTGTTAGAGGTATGAGGGCGGTTATCACTTCCCGGTTGCCCACACAGTGGAAGGGTTCTTCTGGAGGTACCTGAAAAGGAAATTGGATTAGAGGTGGTCTCAGTGACCTGAGAGCGTGACCGCAGTGCCCAAGGGACAACTGCTTGAGGCCGGTCGCGCACGGCCTTTTCGTGGAAGGTTTTCGACGTGTTAGCTCCGTTCTTCAAAGGGCCTTACCGCCGGAGACGGAAATCCGTGAGGTAAGGTGAGGTGTGCATTTTTAGGGTCGACCTTTTCTAACCCCACCCCTCCTTGTGGGAAGGCAGCATCGCTGTCATGCTGGTTGTCTGAAGGAAACACCTTACTGCTGTCACACCTCTGTACAGTCAGCAGTACGACTTCGCCTTCGGACCTTGGGTTTGTTGCATTTAGACTTACCGCTCTTCAACCGACCTGTCTGACATGGTAGGACCTTGAGGAACGGTTGTTCCAGTCAGTATAGCTCGGTTGCTTCATCACGATAGGCAAGCCCGACCACCACGTCAAGGTAGCAACAACGGTCGGGTATTGTAC